AGTTTAAAAAGGAATCAAACCAACAGATTAATTTCTATTTTTTTTCCATTTTTTAGTGGTAAAAATGAAAATAGATTTTGTATTTCTTAGTTGCATGCAACTATTTCCCAAGTTTAAAGAAACCAAAATCCTAAAGATTTCCAGTTATAAACCAGGGACAAAAAGAGTCCACAAATCCTACTATTAACAGAGTAAGTTCCAAAAACTTAATTACTCTGAACTTTATTTAGAGTATCTTTACAAAATACTCTAAATAAACTCTAACCCAATCCAAACATGTCTGGGTTGATCATTTAAAATCTCAAAAGTGGTCTCAAACATGGAAATGGCACTTATTTCCAACAGAACAAATCAACATATCAAAAGTTTTGGATTGCAAGGCTAAAATAGAATGACTCAGAAATGTTACTTTTTACAATACATCTATCTGCTTCATGCTTTTTTCTTGCATACTTTAAACAATTAATATCCGACTACCAAATTGTATGCCAACAACTAGGCATGAAATGCATCTCAATCTAATATTCAATTCTTATTTGCTTTAGGCATATCTTCACATAATTCTAGGGAAATTAAGAAAATGTTTAGAGAAAGGAAAAATCTCCAAATACATATTAATAAAATTTTCAGTAGTGATTTGAAATACTATCCTACATTTCTAGAGTATAAAAATTAGTAACTTCCAAAATGCTTTCCCATTCATTCTGATTCTATGAGTTGTAGTAAAAATTTTTATGCAAACTACATTTGTTTAAAAGTTAATCATTTTGGGGCCAGAGATTTAGCTTAGTGGCTTAAGCGCCTACCTGGCAAGCATGATGTCATGAGTTCAATCCCCGGTACCAAAAAGAAAAGTTAATCATTTTGTTTTAAAAACCCAAATACTCTAAAACATGATTTAAAGTTGTGAAAAAAAATTACTTTAAAAAGATTGAAAAAAAAAAAGTTCACCAAGCACCTTTGACATGCCAGGTTCTAAGGGAGCACGGGATCACATCAGTCTCTAAACTTAGGAAAACAGTTACTAATTTCAGAAAATTAGACAATATTGACTGGTCCCTCATATTTGTACAGATACTTCCCTCTGATTTTATATTCACTTGATCAAAATTTTTGCTAATCACAAAATACCAAACTATACCCCAGAGGTAACAAGCTACCATGTAATCCACAAATAAAAGTTCTGTTCCATCACCACTCTTTTTGTAGCTACTCATTCTCTCATGTGTTTTCTTGTCTCCTTCAGGTTAATACTGAGAAGTACATTCCTGAAATTTACATCAGCTTGCAAAAGGGGAGTCTTTTTTGTACTATTATTCCAATGACCTCTAAAGAAATTAATTGAAGGGCTGGAGATCTATCTCAGCGGCACAAGCACCTGCCTTGCAAGCAAGCGGTCATAAATTCAATCCCCAGTACCAGTAAAAAAAAAAAAAAAAGACATTAATTAAAATGAAAATGCAAACCTAAAGATAATAAATGGCTCATATGCTTTCAGGGAAATTTTTTTGTTCATTTGTTTTGTGTCTGAGAGACTACACCCAGAGTACATCTCTACTTAGAATGTGATCTACTACTGAGCTATACCCTCAACCAGGAGACTTTTTAAACTAATTATCACTAGGACATCTATGAAATACAGCATTTACTCTAAATCTTGCATGAGAAGCACAATAGTTTATTTTCCCATGAGTAGTCCCATTTGAATTTTAGGAATCTAATTTTGATATACTTTAATGGCATATACTATTTATCAACTTTAAATAGAGATGGTCAGTCATGTCATAGTGAAGAATCACCTATAATTTTGTTATCAACTTACTATACATGGCTTCTCTACTAAAGTGCTTGAAAATAATCTTAAGTAAACATTACCCTTCAAATTTTACTTATAAATGATCAATTGCTTAGCAATGTTTTCCCAGATAGAAACCTTATCTAATACTTGATGAAATACCCACTGCAGACATGAAAAAGAACCAATAATATGATAGTTTTGCATACATTTGTATCCTATAAAATGAAACAGCCTTTTCTCTAATTAAACACACAAAAAACTCAAATGGGATAATCTCATAATGCTATACTGCAAAGCATGTCTATTACCAAGTATCTTTTGTATGACCTGAGTCAGAGTTCAAAATACAACTTTAATTTCCATAAAGAATAAATTCAGTTCTGCACTCAGAACACTGACCCTATACAACTCATTTCTCCCATCCAAATATAACACTTATTTAAGCAAATTAACATAGCTATTAGCTATGCAAGTAAGTATGTAAATAAGTCCATCCTTTAAAATAATTAAGTTGCCACATTTCAAACAACTGCCTATTGAATTTCAGTACTCTGACTATACAAACTATATAAGCTTATTAAATTACATTCACACTAAACGTACGTCTTTTCCATAACAGTTTAATAGACTTGGCATAGTCTTCTTTAAAAAAGGAAAAGTCTGGTTTGACTTTTTGAAATGACCTTCCTCTGGTCAATTTGGTTTGTGTGGCAAATAACTCACTGATTCACCGATGATAATGAAAAATGTTCCCCAACCAAGGACTACCTCCCTTTCCCTTTCCCTTTCCCAGTTAAATGCCTCAATATACATGTTACATATTATATACGATACATAGTTATATGTGTGAGTATATATTATATACATAAATATGCAGGTTTATGTGGAATCAAGAAGTTTCTGCTTCTAGGCAAAGTATGGAAAATTTTTAGACTTCACATCAGAAGACCTGCATTAAACCCACAATTCACAATCTATCAATTATACCACCACAAACATGTTACCCATCTGGGACAAATTTTTCATTAGACGGAAATACTCTAAACCAGGGGGCTGGGTATTTAGCTCAGCGGCATAAGCGCCTTCCTTGAAAGCAGGCAGTTGTGAGTTCGATCCCCGGTACCGATAAAAAGGAAAAAGACAAAAAAATATATATATATATTCTAACCCACTTTCATCACAGACCTTCAAAAATCTACCTATGGGCTGGGCTGCACACTGCTATAACTCTAGCATTCTGGGTTCAATTCTCAGTACTGTGTGGGCAGGGGCTACCTCACGGTGTTTTGAGGAATAAACGGTAAGATGTGCTGTGGCACGTACAAAGATAAAATCTCAAGTATGTACATACAAAATGAGCCAAAAAGATAGTTCTTAAACGTTAAATTGTTGGAAATGTTCTTAAATTATCTTCAATTCACATGAAATTGGGAGCAATATCAAAACACCACCATAAAACTAAAGAAAATACTAAAAAATTAAAAATTAAAAAGCATAGCAAAAAGAAAGAAAAAACCTCACTCCTTCCCAAACCCAAAAGTACATTCAAATTAGCATATTCTGGAACAGTAAGAGACTACAGCCTACATTAGGGATGGTTTGAATTTTAGCTAAATCTTAGTACATTCAGTTTCAGTTAGGCAACCCCACACACACACCAGTTTTCGGATTTTATTTTCCCCACAGTGGAGGGACACTAACAAGGTAGTTTATCGCAAAAGTGCTTATTGTCAAGAGTAACAAAGACCCAAGCAATATATCTGGTAAATAGTGTGGCTACTGACAGACATGTAAGCCTCAGGCCCCTAATTATTAGCTTGGGGTTGGTACCAAGATATTCTAAGTATCTAAAGGGGTATTCCACCTTGTGGAAATATAGATCACTTCTGAGCAAAAAAATCAGCCCTGTACATTAAATACAGCTGTATGCCTAGTTTTATATTTTTTGCATGATGGCCTGAAATTGTTTTAAAATCAATTAATAAGTGAAGCTGAAGAACACAGTTCCCAATGGCAAGAAATTTAAGAAACTCTTTCTTGGAGAACAGAAAACAACAAATTATCTTAAATGAGAGTTTAAAGGTGTCTTCATTGAGTTTCAGAAACAAACCTCTGTCCTAAAACTACACTTGACTACATTTCCCTCAAAACCTTGGAAGCACCATGACATCTAAAGCCCAGAACATTTAATCTTAAATTCCAATCCAAGCCCCAACTTAGCTGGGAACAACCTGCGGTAGGTCATTTAATAGGCCTCAAGTCATTTCTTCTGTGAAACAGAACAGAGATATTTCAAGAAATCAAAATTAGTAGGAAAAATGTTGAAGTTATTAAAACATGGCCAACTTTTTGTTGTAAAAATAAAATTATGTAAAACTGCTCAAAAGGAATGCTTGACACATTTTCAGCACTTACCATTAGCTATTGATGTTATATATGAATTAAATCAAGTGAAAAAGCATCTAACGTTCAAACTGATTATTTAAAAATCCAAATCTCATCTATTACCAATCATTCAAAATATTAACTGGAAAAATTTTAGCTTAGCCTACAGTAATGCAGTGGGAAAAAGTTAAGTTTAATATCTCTTTGCTGGTAGGTTATGTTAACACATTACTTTCATTCTAGCTGCCGTAATTTTTAAAAGCCTCTTCAAAAAATTTGTTTCTAGAATCACCAATTCTTCAAACATCTTTTCTACTGGTTTCCAACACTAATCAAAGCTAAACATCAAGTATAGAAACATGACAAGACATAGATGTACCCTTTAAAAAAATGCTGTCTTAAGAGCCACAAGAATGGCTTGGCTGTCGTATCATTTGCCAATGAGATGGCACTATAACACCAAAGTGTAAATTATCTTGAGTTCTACTAAAAGAACAGAAACAGGATGTGTGAAAGAGACAACAGATCAAAACTTAAAGTCCAAACTCCTCCAATTTTGGCTATATAATTTTGGGAAAGCCATTTACCTCTGGGCCTCATTTGCTTTATCTGTAAAATGGGAATTATTATTCTCGCATAGGCTGTTTGGACAAATGAGTGAAATATTAAGGAAAATACTAAACTTCAAATGCAAACATGACTTTTAAACAGTGCTTTTGGTTAAAAGAAGTTTCTTAAAAACATGTAAGTCATATACAGAATTTTGATTTCAAAGTAAACCACTATCATTATATATTGCCACTTAAAAAAAACTTGCCTTGGATTGAGTTCTCTTTCCATTTCTCATGTTAAACTTTTCCTTCATTTCCTCTAGAATTATCTTCAATTTCTTTTCTTCAGGTGTCCCTAAGTATTTTTGGTTCACATGAAGATAACAATGCCATTTGGCTGATTCAAAGCCCCAGTGGCAAGTTCTTTTGTCGGGTGATCTGTGAGAATGCATCACAAACGTCTGGGGTGCAAACATTCCACAGCACTCCAAACACTGAATACATGGAGCATCAGGCTGCACATAAAACTGAGGTGCAAACAGACCCTGACATTTGCCCAAGCATTCATGTTCCACTTCAAAGGCACTGCCAGTTTCCTTTAACTGGGCCAAAGAGTTTTTAGCAGGAAGTATGCTACCATTTTGCAGAAAAGTTCGTGGCCGCAATAAAGCATTACACAGTCTTTGTGCGTCAGTTAATGTGATCAACCCACAGGATGGAGCATTGAATGGAAGTATTCCCAGGACCTTCAAGATATGAAGCTGGTCTGAGGTACACCTTGAACAATATATATATAATTCATCACACACTGTGTTTATCTGCTGAAGTGAAAATTCTCGGAGAACAGAATTTAAGACTTGGGGCAAACACAGTCTCTTTTCTCCTCCAACTTGAAAACAAGAAACAGCCTCCCCTTCCAAAACAGTCTGGGTGAGCTCTGTGGAGCTATCTGAAGGGATGAGCAGTGGGCCAGGAAGAACCTGAGGAGATGGAAGAGGCAGAAACACAGTGGGTGACATGCTTTCCTGGGAATATCGTGCGGAAAATGCTGCTGGTCCACCCAAAGAGCTCTGACTACTTAAATGGAATTGTGCCAACGTGTGTTTCAAACTGGGATTTAAATTTAAAGGTTCAGGCAGGGAAGTACATGTTCCTTTGACATGTTCTCCATCAGTTTCCATCAGTGCTTCTCCATAATCATCCAAATGTTCCTTCTTTACAGTCGGCACCTTATTAACGGTTTTTCCGTGTGCATGAATATCTGTCATCTTTTTTTTCACTGGTGGGCTGCCATCATCTCCCATCACATTCAGTTTTTTATTGGAGCCCTGAGCCAAGGAGAGATTTGTCTGAAGGTTTTCCATTGCTACACTACTTAAACAATTATGTATGATATTTGCATTTTTATTTAGTTGCTTCTTTGAAGAATGTTTACTATACTTCTAAGTTACACATAGAAAATTTTAATCTCCAAAGAGAAATCTTACTCAACAGATTTTGCAACTTTATTTTGGCGCTTATATCCTAGTATAATTTTCTGCAAATGCGATAAAATTTCTTGTTTTGCTTCTAATAACTAAGAATATAATCTTAAGAGGCACGCTTCTAAGGAAGCTTTTATTTCTTGAGTTCTTCAGGTGTATGTAAAATAAAGCTGTTAAGTTCTCAATTCAACGTGTCCAAGTTCTATGTAACGTTTTTGTATGGTGGTTTAGACTTCTTAAAATAAAGCATGTGTAAAGTTCATGCCATTACTGTGCCATAAAACCTAGATTCAAACACAAGTCAAAAAGATGCAGCCAAATTAAATTTCTACCACCAAAGACAGTTACGAAGGGGTGGGGGAGGGATATGTCTTCTAAAAGTGGTCTGTTGGTCTTGGTGCCCAAATCTCCACACCGGTAAGAAGCACCTCTGACTCCACTTGGACTTTTATTATCAAAAATTATACTTAAGGAAAAGTTGCTGAGTTATCTTCAAGGATTATGGTTCATCCTTCTTTTAATGAATCTGGAAGAGAAGGGGGATGGGAGAATTATATTTGAATTTGTTCCAGAGGCCAAAGGGTCAGTTTCAAACCAATTTCTTAATCTTACACTGAGTTCACTTTACCAAAGGTGACACTTGAGTGATTTCTTTAAAACTAGCCCCAGTTAACCACAAGAACCTTCATTTAAATAGGAAAGCAATTCAGAAGGTGGGTAAACAGAGCAAAAATATCCCTCAAAAGGTAGAAGGTTACTCAAATTCAGAGTATGAAGAACCTTACACTGAACTCCTTAAACAAAATTTGTACAAGATTTACGTTGTGTCATTTAAACTAAAAAGTAATCCATTACTGTATTTTTCATTTCCTAATTTTAAAAAAGGGAAAGTCTGGTTTCACCACCATCCCACCCAAAATGTGTTAATATAGCCATCATATGTAACTAAGTTACAATCTGAAGAGCATTAATTCGTCTAGCCAATGTATCCTATTTTTTGGAATGACTGTAGGTAAAAATTAACTTTCCTTTTAAAAGGGGTAGCGAATTTGCTTAAAGGAAACCAAAAGCTGAAGACTCCATGTCTGGGAATCTCCATCCTTGAACAAGATTAATCCGGGACAAAAAGCACAAGGCAGACAGCCCTCTCACAAAGAATGCAAATGGAGGAAGAGAAAAAGAAAAGATACTTCTTCCACTTCCTTCTTCAGAGAAAATCCAGATAAAATACAATAAACATAATTTTGAGCTTTCCAAACTCCCAACAATTTACCTTAAAACAAATCTAAAGGATTAAGAGCGAAGGCCACCAGCCGAGGCAGACTTTCGCCACCTCAGGGACACCTCAACCTAGGCAGGGCAAGAAGAGGGCAGGAGGCACGACCTAGAATGGGGGAGCCCCAAACCTCGATGCGCTCCGCCCACGCAAAGCCACCCACCCATCTTTAACCTACAGGGTGAAGACCGCGAACCGGGGACCCGGGACATCCGGGGGGTGCGAAGAGGGTGGAAGGAAGTAGGCGGAGGAGTCCCCCCAGCCACCACCCGGGAGCCTGGGATAACCAAGCGCGCCCTCCAGCACCGCCCCACTGCGGGGGCTGCGGGGAGGGCCGTGGAAAACCCCGCGCGCCCTCTCCCCACGAAGTTCTCAGCTGCTACCTCCGCGCCCCGAGTTTACACCTCCCCCTCCGAGTCTACACCTCCTCCCGCCAGAGCCCCGAGCCTGACCCCATTGGGGACCGCAGGCAAACGGGCGCCACTACGGACCCCGCGCCGCCGGCCGCCCAGGTCCAACCCAGGTCATCCCCGCCGAGCGCAGACGGGCGGGGGCGGTGACGGGCGTCCAGGTCTCGGGGTCCGGCGGCTCCGGTCAAGTGCAGCGGCGCTCGAGCCGGCGCGCGCAGCGCGGGGTCAGCGAGGTGCGAGCCGCCCTGGAACCCCCGCCCCGCAAGCCGCCCCGGCCGCAAGCCCACCCGGGACCGGCGCATCCGGACCCCTGCTCCGGCCTCCGCACCCCAGGGAAGCTCCACCGGCTGGTGAACTCCCCACTGCCTGCTGAGAAGCCGGGCGCCCCAGAAGCCGCGTCCCCTCGCCTCCCGCCGCGTCCCCCCGCGAGCTGGGGCCGCACCTGTGCCCGCCGTCGCCGCCGCCGCTCGCCCGCTCCCTTCGGCTGTGCCGGCGCCGCTCCCAGCCCCACACACATCGCTACACACAGCCCTCTGACGTCACCGAGCCCTTGGCCCGCCCACGTCACTGCGGAGACACACGGCTTCCCGCAGACGCCGCCGCCGTCTCCGGCCGCCGGGGGAGAGCGAGGGCGGCGGGAGGAGGAGGGGAGGGGACCCGAGCCAGCAGCCCCGGCAGCGCGCGCGCGCCGCCACCGCCGCCTCGCCGCTCCAGCCCGCGGGAGCGCGCGCCGTCTGGCCTATTGTGGCTCTTCAGGGCTGCCCCGACCTGTCGCCTCACGCACGCGCCCCTCCCCCCAGGCGCGCGCCGGGCCCCGCGCGCCGTCTGGGCGGCTGGCGCGCGACGCTGTCTGCGGTGCACGGCGCAGACAGGATGTTCCCTGCCGCCCCACCCCCACCGCCGCCTCCCTCCTCGCTCCTTCCCTCCCTCCTCGCTCCCTCCCTCCTTCCTTCCTCGAGTCGCCCAGCCGGCTGTCTGGGGCCGCCGCGCCCCGCCCTCGCCCCACCCGCGGCTCTGGGGCACAGGCCAGACCCGGGGGCGCCCCGGCGGCTCGGTCGCAGCGCTCCGGGGAGAAGGGGAAACAGGGCGGGGGCGGGGGCGGGGCGGCCGCGTGGTGCACTGTGCGCGACCCTAGCAGCCGGCGAGGGCCGCCCGCCCAGGCCGCCGCCCGAGGTCAGGCGCGGGCGATCCCCCCGGCCGCAGCCGGGCGCCCCGCCCCGGAGGTAACTGGGCGGCGGCCGCCCTCTGCGCGCCCGGGGCTGGCCCTGAGCCGCGGCCGCCGCGAGACGTCCCCGCCCGCCGGCCTCCCGCCCCGGCCACCCGCGCCCCCGCGGGGCCTCCGCCCGCGGCTGCGCTGCCAGCTGTCGGCGCCCCGCCCGCCGCCTTCCCCGCCTGACCTCCATCCGCCATGCGCTGCGGGCGGGAGCGGGCGCGCGGGCGAGGCGCCCGAAGTTCCGGCAGGACCGGGAGGACGCTTCGCCGCCTGCCTCCCAGCCTCCCGGCCTGCGTGCAGACCATTCTCCCGGCTCCGCGAGGACCCGGAGAAAACGACATATTTCCACAGTGCTTCCCGGGCGTTCGGGGGTGCAGGGCGGAGAGGGACGCGGGGAGGGCAGCCGTGACCCTCCCTCGGGCTGCTGGGCGCGGAGGCCGCTCGGCTCAGGGCCCCGAACTCCGCCGCGCTGCCGCGTCGGCTTTCGAAACCCCAAGAAATCCCCTTTTCTTCACCCCACCGCAAGATCAGGAACTGAAATAGTCCACCCTGTAGCTTTGCACAGACTTCAGGAGAATCGAGCTTTGTCCTTTTTTTTTTTTTTTTTTTTTTTTTTTGTCCAATTTCTCCTTTTTTTACTCGGGGCTGCTCAAATGGGGGTCCACATTTAGAGTCAGCCCACTGGGAAAAATCCTGTGCTCCCAGCTTTCTCCGGTCTTCTCACCAGGAGCCTCCCTATCCCGTGCCCCCCTCCTCCCGCGCCCCAGCGCGATGCTCCCAGGTCGCGCTCCTCTCCCGCCCCCCACCTTCTCCTTGACTGCCTCCTTTTCTGAACATGAATAATTCCACAGTACTTCCCATCTGTTATTGCCATAGAGACAGAAGCTTGGCACAGATAATGATGTTCTGTGGAGGGCCGCTGAGGGAGACAGCATCTGCGAGTCTGGGGGGGTTAGATCTTCTGACCTCGACGATATTTACAAGGCCTGGACTGCAAGGCTGAGGAAGAAGACTGGACAGTACCGAAACTTGGCACCTGGCTCTTATGACTAGCAAAAAGAAACAATTTTTAGAAACCAAGAGGACTGATCTAAGGGGGCTGGGGAGTGATTGCAAAACTATTCAGTGATAAATGTCTAGTAGTCATTTAATTGGCCATAAAATGACTTGGTAGCATGTCCAGAGGATATAAGAACCAAAATAAATTGGATGCAGAGTAGGTTTTTGAGAAATCAAATGCGTTATCCTCCTTGTTCTTTTGATTTTGCTTTTTGCAGGAATCTGAGGCAAAGATTTTGGTGCCTGTGATTGTATGTGCTGTGTAATGGTTTGAGAAATAGTGACGTGCAAATTTAGCTAGAACAATTCAAGCTTTAAGGGCATTTTTTTCTAGCTATTCTCAAAGTTCAAAGTGCAACACATTAAAATTCACTTTGCCCTTGAATTCCCGAGGTCTTGGCCTCAAAGGTACACGTTTGAACGCAAATGAAACTGAACAGAGTGCATTTACATATATCCAATGCAAATGAGGGGCCCCTTCCGCCCCAGTTTTCTAGGGCTGTTTAAGGATTTTCAGAAACTATCAGTAAAATTTATTGTATAATGTAAAGTTAAAAATACTAAAAGCAAATGATAATAGATTTCTATCTCCGAAACAGAGTTAAACAGTCTTGGAAAATACAGACCTGAGAAAAATAAGCACTAGAAAGTAATGAATGTTGTAGTTTTACACATACCAGTTCATGTTGTTGACGGTGAAAAGTCAGTTTAAGTATTGGGATCAGTACATAGCTACTAAATGGAGTTCACATGGCCTACTAGCCCACTAGTAAGAGCTGAATTAGACGGCTGTGAGAGGGTGCACATCTCCACATACATAACTAGAGGAGTGGGTTTACCCATCGTTTGATCTTCCATTACGTGCAAGGTGTAGTAAGCCCATTCCTGAAAAATCTGAAGTAACTGGTGCTAGTAGGTACTCAGTTTAGAAGTCTTTCTTCAGTAGTTATGGCTGCCTGGTAATAATAGAAACCGAGAACTGAGAGATCACAAAGGTGGTGAAGCTCACCTCTGTCCTGTCACCTGATAGTTTGGAGGCAAATGCTTTCAATGTTTAATTAAAAACAATATGAAGAATAAATAAGGAATATGAAACCGAAAAAGTGTACGAAAATGTGAAAAATGTGACATAAATTATGTTATTAAGAATGGGGAAGAAGTGTTCACTGACACACAAACACTGGTTTGTGTTTTTGTTTACTTCTGCTCTTTTCTGAAGAATAGAGCCCTTGTAGCCTGGTGGTCCCAGCCTCTTCCTTCATCCTCCACAACAATGACCAATGAATTTGCATGAAAGACTTTTTTTTAGCAGCAAGTCAAATGCTGAAAGGTCCTTGAACTTCACCAAAGATTCTCAGCCATTTCCTTTCCATCTCATTTTTTTATGAACTTGTTAGATAAGATGATGATGATGATGGGATGCTCTTTAACTTCTGCACAGCACTTTGCTCTTTCTCCTTCCTGCCCTTTTCCTCCTCCATTTCACTCTCCCATATTTGTTTAGTAGTATAGTCCTTGCCAGGGAAAGTGCCTCCCTTCATTGACTAGGCTTTCTCCCCTGAAGTATTTCCTCTTACCTGCCCAGTCCTGCCCAGTCAGTGGTGAATCTCGTCAAGGTTCCTTGTCTCATTTTTTCATACCTTAAAAAAGATGAAAACCAGATGTTTAAAAACCTAATCTCTCTCTCTCTCTCTGAAGTGTGCCAACACTTTTTTTCAGTTTTATCTTAGGCTTTATGAAATTAGAAAGGAAGAATAACATTGTATAAGAAATGTAAATTGAAAAAAGAGAAAGAAAGAGTAAAGTCATGTAACAGTCACAATAAGTGACTGTGGCCAGTCCCTTATTTCATTGCCAATTCTAGGATTTTCATGTGTGTTTAGAAGTTTGGCAAAATTTGATTTATCACATACCAGACTTTTTGAGTCTATGTCTAAGGGAAAAAAGTCATAATTAGCCTTACAATTACCAGGCTATGATTTGTAATAAGTTGAGAAATGTCTAATTAGTAGTGCTGGACTCTTACGTAGTTCAGAGTGCTTCACATATTACATACTATATGTGCTAAAAATTCACTTCCTTAACAACAGGGGAAGTTGAGGCAGGGTTTGGTCACCTACTGAACCATGTTGTGGCAGAACAGAAGTTAGAACCCAAATTACCTGAGCATTAATCAGTGGAGTTTCCATTCATTTCCTCACTCTTCTTGGTGTGAACTCAAGCCATAAGGACTGATTCAAATTACTCAGAAGGGTTAAACCCTGAAACAAGTCAGGTGCATTTATCACAACCCACAATAGCTACCATAACTACATGCAATGCTCTCTGGTATTATATTCTGTTCTGTTCCTTTGTATTTCAGTCCACTGCTGATATATTGCAACCTGAAGTTTAAGAAAGATTAAAGAATAAGTATTAACATTTTCATCGTATTTAATTTTGTTAGGCTCTATTTTAAGCACTTTACACATCGTAAGTCAACTAATACTTATAACAAAACCATAAAGTGCTATTATTATTCCATTTTAGACATCAGGAAACTGGCACAGACTTGTATCCAAGATCACACAGCTTGTTAAATTTTACTCTTTGAATCTGACAAACATTATACTTGAGTTTTGAATTTGAGTTCTAGGCAGGATCACTTTGGATGTGTGTTTTAAAGGTATAAAAGTTTATGTTATATGATGACTTGAAGATCACTAAAAGTTTCTGTTTCCCTCACTGCATTATTTATAGTGCATGAGATTTCTAGAAGATATTTTATTCCATTAATACCCAGATTAAACTGAAAATGCGTTACTTGTAAGGGAATAAATGTTATTATTGCTTATAATTACCAGTCTCTAAACCTTGATAGTATTTCAACGTAAGCAGTTTTACCCCCACCAATACACCGAGGAAACTGATATTCTAGCTTTCTCTGAAATCTTTGCTACAGTTTGTTGTCTATCTGAGATTAATTAGTCATCTAGCAAAGTTCTGTTGTAGAAACCGAGATAAACTTTCATTAAAGGAGAGTGAAAAATAGTATACATGCATGGTATACATTAAGTAAGGAAAGCTCAGCCACAGGACCAAAATGGGGAACAATGGACTACCAAATGGTACAGTTAACACTGAATGGTCTCCCAGGGGTTGGTGACCCCAAACCCCATTTCTCTTCTTGCTCCTGCTCCTGCCCTGTATATATGGCAGTTGGACTAGGGATAGACACCTGAGCCAAGGGAGGCCAATGACTATTTTCCCAGAGCTGTTTGAAATGAGCACTACAGAGGTCTGACCTCAGCCTGGCTGGTGTTTTGATTT